CCATATCATCTGAGGCCATTGCAGAGGTCTTCTCCCGCATTGACCACAAGTTCGACCTCATGCAACTGGTCGCCGAAGTCGACGTCCTTTCAGTTTCTCATGGTTTCTCATAAGATGTGGATGCTAGATCGGTTAGATCAGTCCAGGGGCAAAATGAAGGGAATTGAAGGGAACTGCAAAAAATGTGTTTTTGTTGGTGTAATTTGTGTATGTGCGGGACCACGGGTATGCCTGAGTGTGCTGGGTGCTCATGCTTTTTCCTTCTTTCAGATGCAACCAGCTGCAGAGCAAATCGCGCAAATGCGACGCTGCGTAGCTGTTTCCCCTCACTATTGGGTGTTGTTATTTGAGACTAGGGTGGTCAGTCACTGTGCACAGATATCCCCAGTGGATGCATACCTTTTCTTTTTCTTAGGAATGATTTTCTTCTAGCTCAAGCAGGAAGAACAGATGAACAGGGACCTTTTCAACAAGGCTTGTGACGTTTTTTTTGGGGTTGGTTAGCAGTTCTGCCATCCACGAGGTATTCCAAGCGTGCCTTCGTGCATCACTACGTGGGTGAGGGCATGGAAGAGGGTGAGTTCTCCGAAGCTCGTGAGGCTGGAGAGAATCACATGACAGAAATGGACAGACAGCAATCAACTCCCAACTAAAATGTCCTAAAGAGTCAGTGTTGATGTGGAACTTGAGCAGTCATCTTTTTGCCTGTTGGACTCTAAGACGGTTTCAAAGGCTTCTATAGCTATAACTTCCCAGAATCGAAGATCCTCTCTCTCTCTCTTCGCAGGACTTGGCAGCCTTGGAGAAGGACTATGAAGAGGTGGGCATCGAAACAGCAGAAGGACGCCCGGCTGAGCCAGAAGACAGGTTTTTAGGGTTAGTTGACGTATGGTTGTTTAGTCCAAACATATTTCTGTCGACTTTTAGGTCTAGAATTTTTTTGTTAGGGATATGTTTGCCTTTCCCTTCAGCCCCAGGCCTTTGACATGCTGTTTTCATGGTGTTTTTGGACCTTTTCTATCCTTTTCTTGATTTTTGTTGATAGAATACTCCAGTGAATCGCCGCAGTTGAGAGCTTCAGAACTTGCCTTTTTTTTGTCACGCTGAGGTGAAGGAGAAGAGGAAGGAGACTTGGCTGGTGAAGTTTGTTCTTTGCATCCAAAGATCAGCGTAGATGGTCCACCATGGTTTAGGGTTTGTCATTTCCAGGGTGAAACAGCTCAGCATCATTGTAAAAAGGAAGTGCCACAAACAAGGGCTCAATGCCTTTCAAAGACTATGCAACAAAAAGGTTCAAACATTTCAGCTGTGGGCTGTGGGTATCTAGCCCCTCACTTGCTCAGCTGAGGCTATGGGGATGAGTTCTAAGGTCTCACAACGCGCAGCTACATATGCTGTGCTTCAGGTGGATGATTCGCTTGCTGGGTCACAAGCCCAGCGGCGGGTTTCCGCAACCAACTGAGCTGGGACATTGGGAGGAATTGAAAAAAAGAGGCAGCAGCTGAGTGCTCGAATGTTCAGGGATGTTCAGGGTTTTGTGGTGGAAACATAGCTTTGCTTGGCAAAGAAACTGGCGGATTGATTGGGCTCAAGGATTTGTGTCCAAGGCTGCCACATCACGCGGTGCGCTGAACGGCACTTTCCACCACCCGCTTCTTCGCGCTTTCCCGTCTTTGTGCTTTCAAACCCGTCTAAGCAATGCGTGAGGCCATCTGCATCCACATTGGCACTTTGGCCAGAATTCAAGGATACATGTTGGAGACGTGACTGAACACTTTCATGGACACAACTTGGATCAACTTGGTATGACTCAAGAAAGGGCGGTTACATCCAAGGTCGCAGAAGAAGTACTATCAACATCTATCAACCAAAAACGTTGGAACCCTTCATGTCAAGTTCCCTTTGTGCCCAGACCTCCGTTTGAGGTCAGGGCGGTGTCCAGATTGGCAATGCTTGCTGGGAGCTCTTCTGCCTTGAGCATGGCATCCAGCCGGATGGCCAGATGCCCAGCGACAAGACCATTGGCGGAGGTGATGATGCCTTCAACACGTTCCTTGGCTTACTGTACTAGTACCATCTAGCAGCATTGGTGTATCTTGCTGTGCGATGAATCCTGGATGCAGTGGCACCGCTGTTGAAGCAACTGTTGCATTTTGTTGAGCAGCTTGGTGTCTTCTGCTACGTTGCTGCAATACAGGCTTGTTGTGTGATTGGGCATGACAGCATGCAGAGTGATCACAGCGCATTTGTAGTCATTTGTTGGCTTTACATCCAGATAAATTTGTCAGGCCTCTATCGTATTTCACATTGTCTTGGAATGTGTACAAGCTAGACGCCACTCAGGACCAGCTTTGCTAGATGCGATCTACGTAGTGTGCTAATGCTGTTTGTGCACTAATTCTACACTACTGCTCGCGGATGTTCTTGGCTAGACTTGACTGGACAAACCATTGAACAACTTAAACAAAAATAGCAGGTGTAGTGGCTTTTGCCTTCGTCAATCTTATTCTCTTTAGTTATTGCTAATGAATAAAGAACTATTTTGCTGGCAGATAGTTGTGAGCTCCATCTGACTGGAGTAAATGCACTTCAACTACTGTATTCCTTTTCCGTTTTTTTTGTCATACCTGCAGCGCTGACCCTGCTCTCATCAGCTCCAAGAACTCTGCAATTTGTGGGCCAAGGTTCTTCTCGGAGACTGGTGCCGGAAAACATGTGCCACGATGTGCCACTTATATAGCAGGCCTAGAGCCCCATTTAGATTAGAGGGCAACCTTTTGAAGCTAATCACGTCCAAGTATTCAAGTCTTTTGTTTGGCCAGGTAGACAAGCTTAGTGTTGAACGCACAAAACAGAATGAATGGAATAGTCGGAATAGTCTTTTGGGAATGTGATGATTTGGGATGTTTTCGTCTTGACTCACATTCATGTAGTAAGGACACTCGCTGATGTTTGACAAATTGAGGTCATGGTTGACCTCGAGCCAACTGTCGTCGACGAGGTCCGCACTGGCACCTACCGACAGCTGTTCCACCCTGAGCAGCTGATCTCCGGAAAAGAAGATGCCGCCAACAACTTCGCACGTGGCCATTACACCATCGGGAAGGAGATTGTCGACCTGGTCTTGGACAGGATCAGGAAGTTGGCTGACAACTGCACCGGTTTCTATACTGAACGATTGGCTCCGACTTTTTGTCTCTCATGACTGGTGTTTTCGTCCGGATGGTAAGGATAGTAGGTTGGGCCCCCAATTGAGTCCTATGACCTCTTGAGCAGCTTAACTTATATTTGTCAAAGGGCTTCCAGTTGAGGCTTGCAGGGATTCTGTGTGTACAACGCTTGCGGCGGTGGCACTGGCTCCGGCCTTGGATGCCTCATGTTGGAGCGCCTTTCTGTGGATTATGGAAAGAAGAGCAAGATCTCCTTCACAGCTTCTCGCTTTGAACGTTTGACAGAAGCCGAACCTTTTTATGTTTGTATATATCTTTGTATACTAGGCTGAAATGACAAAGGACTTGTGAAAACTACCTCCAAATTGCGGCGGCTAAGTCATGAAGGTTTAGCCTACCCCCCACAAGTATTTATGAATTTATGTCATGAAGCAAAAGCTTGGAAAACCTCAAAATCAGAGATGCCAGAGGTTGTCACCAAAGATCCTAAAAACAATTGAGTTTACATTGACAAGCATCATGACATACGACTTTGGTATCTAAACAATGAATAAACCACCGAGAGATAGGAATTTGACAGCAAAAACGCACACAGCAGACTTAAAGCAAAAGATGATCCTATGACATGTGGACTTTCATTAGCTCTAGTCTTCGAGGAGAATGCCCCCCACCAACCCCCCCCCAACAAAAATAACAAAAACTCAGGACCAGGTCAACAAGGCCTATGTCATGAGTGTGTACCAATGAAATTGCCCTGTATAACATTTGTACGACATGACTTAGGACTTGCCCTGGGAAAGTTGTATGTCATTTCGACCCAATTGGCCTAAGTCATCTCACCCTAGTATATATACTTTTTTAAAATGCAAATCACTGAATGGAGCCAGCTTGCAAGGTTTGGTGCTGCCCACAGGTGGCAACAGCAGTCGTCGAGCCATACAACACAGTGTCGCCTGGAA